TGAGATCTTTATAACAGTAGAGCAGATACTGACATATAATGATCTAAATATCAGTCGTGGCTCTATATCTCCAGTAATCTGTCTCAGTAAGATGAGATTGAAATGCTCCAAACATATAATGCAGTGATTGGGAGCTGAAGAAATAAAGGCTCCTCAGAAGATGTGAGATGTTCTGGAGGCTTGTGAAGATCATTCCTCCGCTGAGGAACAGTGAAAGTAAAGCTTCTGGAAACAAACGCTCCTCCAAAGATCCTGAGGATCAGATTTGAGACTCTAAAACATGATTGATGGAGAATCAAGTAAAGCTGAGCTGCTTCAGTCCAGTAAGTGTTCATCTGGAGATATTACTGCAGTTATTCTGACCTTTACTTCATAAAAACCAGTCAAGATTTGACACAAGAAGCAGCAGCTGAAGCTGGACGTTTCTACAATTACACTAAAAGAGCTTTGACTGGATAAAACACTCTTAACTCTCAATCAGAGACAGAAGGTGTGGAGTTTGATTATGTTGATTATTCAGAGACATTAGAAATTTGACTATCAAATATGATACATTAGCTTTATAATGTCACTGAAGCCAAAACGAATATGCGTGATGACAAATGAGATTTGAGGGCGAGAGTAAATGATGACAGAATGTTCATTTGTGTGTGAACTATTTCTTTCATATAAAACTCAAACAGCTTATGAAAGGATACCGTCGCTCCCAGCAGTCTCGCATGAAGAGTCGCATTTCATTACGTGACACATTTAACCTCAGCTGCTTCCACTAAAACATACACAAGCCTTATTATGTGCTTAATATTCACTATCAGCTGAATAATTTTTAATGCAACTTATAGCCGAGTAGATGGATAACTCAATTATGCGCACATCCGTCACGGAGCCTGCCGAAGCCGGCTGAGATTGATGGGAAGGTGAAGCCGGCGGATCTTGAGCGTCAGATCAGTGAACAGTCTCTCTGCTTCGCTCTTTACAGGAGAAGCCTCATTACCCATGACTCCACTCACGAGAGTTTATTACGAGGTTAGCGTTTTGGCCACACTATTGTTTGGATGATGAATGCGGCTGCTGCGAGTTTTGGAGAGGAGATTAGTTGTGTTGTTTTTCACTTGGTTCTCAACACTTAAAGGAGAAGGGGGAATAATTAACGGCGCTTGCAAACGCTGCCATTTGGTGCAGACGACGGAAATGCTTGAACATAAGCAAATCAGGAGTTGTGTCACTCTCATGCGCCGCACTAATTAAAAACATGGCGGCGATGCTGGGAAGGTCACTGGAAAGGAAACTCGCTGACCTTTTCAATATTTCTCTCAAACTCATGTAAACAGAGGAGATGAAGTAACGTGCGACGGCAAAGGGCCGGAGCTCCAGAGCACATGATTGTCTGAGTGAGAGGAGACGACGGGAAGGTGGACACGGGCGGTCCTTTGCTCCCAGAGCACTGCAAATGTCAAATGTAAATGTCAATTAAAAATTACAAGCAGCTCTGAAAGGTGCACTCTGAAGGGCCTGACATTTTTTTTTTGACATGCCAAAGTTTATCTGACAAGGCAGCGCACAAACATGACAGCATGTGACGTGTCACGTCTAAACACACGCACACACGTGAGGATCATGCTGAAGATGTGATCCATATGACTGTAATGGAGCCGCAGCGCATCAGATCAGATGGATAGAGTGACCTCTCGTGATGGATCGTAACAGACAAAAGGATGTTTTTATGCTTTCAGTCATATAGAAGCACGTTCCATTCGTTTCCCCCAAGAGCTTAAAGCGTATTAGTCACATTGTGTGGTTAAACATGTACCTACTAGTAGAGACGGTTCAACTAGTCTACTGAATACAGTAGGTCTGTTTACATGGCATTTTAATTTTAAGTTAACCAATATGTTTGACTGAAAGCATAATTTAAAATACTCTATCACACACACACACACACACTCACTCACTCACTCACTCACTCACTCACTTGAAACAGCTTAAGATCAGTAACATATAACATATCATAATAAAACAAAACAGATGGGGAAAACAGAACTTTGAATCTGTTGTTGTGAGATTAATTCATCAGATATTTGTGAAATCCCTTACCAAAAAAAGAATGATTTATAACAGAATTATTACAATATATATGCAAAAGGAATGTTTGGAAATCTAAAACTGATATTTACTTCTGGCACACTAAAGCAAACGATAGAAGTGGCTTGAAATGTGTTTGTTAATAAAATGAGCCCTAACCCTAAAGTGCTGAAGACACTCGCACACTATAAGACTATAACAGTTCTGCATTTAATACTGTCATCATACTTATTCAAAATGGACTTTAATTTTATTTTAATAGACAGACGTCAGGTTCATTTTTATTCATTGTGGTTTTAATGTTTTAATTTGAGATTGTCTGCGTGTGGTTTAGGGTCTGACCTGTTGCAGTAGCTCCAGAACTGCTCGTTCAGGTACGTGTGATGGCTGTGCTCGTCTCCAAATGAAGCTTTGCTCTCAATCCAGTGAACTATATGACCATCAACAGCTGCAGAAGAGCACGAGGTTAGGAAGGTAGGTTTACTACAAACTAGCAGTGTTTAAACAGAGAAAGGGAGGGCGATTAGCAGGCTACTAACAGCACAAACACAAACTACGCACAATTTTTCAGTCTGCTTTGGTCTGTTTGTAAAATGGCAGATTATTTTCACGCCAAACTGATTTGATAGGACATCTGTGAACAAAAGTCCAATTAAATTCAGAGTTAATGATATGACCGTCACTGTGGACTGACCAGGTTATTGGTTTGAAAAGGTATTTTTTCTAATCAGTGAGTGAATAAACGGCAGCTAGCAGCAGATGAACGGATCTCACCTATAGGCACCTCCAGAATGATGTCCGGGGTTTTGTCGTAGCCTTTGATACGGAGTTGGTTCTCATCTGTGAGGAAAACACATGATCTTCAGGAATGCAATGGTAGAAGAGTTTCTTTGTCACGTTTGAGACAGTTTTGACCATCAGAACTGAAAAGAATCGCTTTTTTGGCTGAATGCCCTCATTGCTTGTAAAATAATAATGCAGGTTTGGTGTCATATTTAATATAGTTTTTATCTGCTCTAGCCTTTAATTACAGGTCGTTTCCACCACTAGTGTTCATATACGGGTGTCCCATCTCAAATCCCTGCTTCATGATTCTTGACTGGACAATTCAAGATCATTTTTGATTATTTTAAAGTCTAATAATAATAATAATAATTATTATTATTTCTTTACTTTTAGCTGTTGTCCACATTTTGAGTGCAACCCTGTTAACCAGATGATTACAAGTAAATTAAAAATCAAATTATGACAGAGGAAGTAACATCACTTGTGGAAAGACAAGTAAATAAAATGATTTTTAGTCATTGAACTGCTACTGTCCGCTAGAAAATGCAAATTCACATAATTCTGGGCTTTAAACTGTATTTTAGTCATGACACAATTTTTGCTAACAGGATTGCATTACATTACATAAAATACCCTTTTACTGAGCATTGTAAAAAAAATATATCAAGCTTTAAGCTGCATGACACTAATAAATTCACTAACAGGGACGGTCTGTATTTAAGACACCAGAGAGTTCACAGAGGTAGAGAATGTGTAATTTCTGTGCAGTTTAGTTTCAGTAATTGCTGTTTTATTACTGGGAGGGATGTTTTTAGTTCTGAAAGTTACAGTATGTTTTATAAAATGAAATGTATTTGGTGAAACTGATTCTATCTCTTTAAAACCAAGCGGCACGCATGCAGTGAAGGCACATCTATGCCCTCGGTCAGCGCAACTAAAGCAAAGCCATCTGAGGAGAGTAAAGACACAGGCAGCATCCGCACACAGAGGAGGATGAGAGCAGTGTTTGCTGGCGCTGCACAAACGTCTCTTCAGTCGCTGTGCTGATGGAGGGTGAGAGGTCTCTGTATTATACCAGTGCAAGCCGTTGTCCTTGAGTCTGGGTGAAACACCTGATTTCTCCATTAAATCACACTGAGCGGGTCATTCGGCCTCTCGGTCTCGTGTCCAGTCGGGCTGAACCGCTGTAGGGCGTGAGGGGCGTTCAGGGCGAGGGCTTTGTGTAGGGTCTGTTGACATGGTCACGCCGGGCAGATCATCTCTGTACATCACCTTTGATTAGAATTAATGAGCTGTCTCAGCTGCTGCAGAGCTCGTTTATCAGGCCGCCGTGACCCGCCAGCCCAAACGCCCTCAGTCGGGTCAGAACTCACTCATTTCACTCCTCAGTCTTTACTGCCAGGCGTCGCTGACCACCGGCGCTCAAGAAACACAGCAAATGTGCAGTGCACACTGGGAAGGTCACGCATGCACACACGTTAATAATGTAGCAAATCAGCTCATAAGGGAAATATGAATAATTAATCATAACTAGTTATAATTAATTATAAATATTTAGATCCGTTGTAGATATTTACTTGACCTCTCAGGGTCAACTGTCTGTCAATTCTAAGAACGTTAATTTCCTGGTTAAGGGAAATAATCCTATGAATTAATTAGTAGAAAAGTCCATTTCTACTGTGCCTTGTGCCTCTTGCGATGGAACATGCAGTGATTTTCCCTGCTTCGCATTCCATTAGGTCGTAAATGTATCTGGTGTCAGGGTTGCCATGGTAACCAGGGTCCTGGGCCCTGTTCACAGACAACTTGGCACCCAGTATGTTTATTGGGTGAGGGGTCTGTGAACGTTTGTTAATCTAATGAATGACTGATTTGTTAAATCACATGAAAAATTGTGTTTTTGATTGGTCCAGACGCTACAATAATGTGCTGCTGTACTTCTCTAACATTTAACAAAACTTCAAAATCATCAGTCATGTATGAGAAATAAACTCATTAAAAGACAGAAGGCAAACTCTGAGCTCAAAAAGAAGGATGTTTGAGTTAAAGGGAAAGAAAGCCTTACCACCGTCTACGAACACAAGTGTAAACGCCACGCTCCATGAGTACAGAGCAAAACAGCTTGAACGCTTTAAAAAATCAAGTCAGTTTTCAGTTCTTTGCAACAAATGTGGGAAATGATGATGATCATCCTCAGGTGGTCAAACTTAATATTATATGGTTAATTATTATATGAGCTTTACATTCTACATACACACGCACATACATTATACCATATATACACGGAAAATGAGAGTCTGAAGAAATTTAATATAACAAAACAAACAAAAACTATGCCAGAATCCTGAAAAATTAAATTCATTTATGGAAAAAAAAAATCTGATAAACTTATATTATTTACTTGTCCTCCTGCTCTGCTGTACAAAAGACCCAAAAGTGTGAAATAGAGGCTCACCTAAAAACGACAAGTTCTTCTCTCTGAGTTTGTCTCGTAGCAGGTCTTCATGCTCCAGACCGACGGCACTATGGGAACACGGTCAAGGACAAACTGCAAACCAACTCCACTAACCTTTACTTTGTGTGCTCTCTTCTCATTCTCATGGGAACTGAAGTGAAGATGAAAAGTAGGATGGTCAACTTTTACAAGCCCATTTCTAAATGCTACCTGTGCTCGATTGCCATGGAAACACTGAGCAGGGTTGCTGTGGCAACAGCAGAGGAATGTGTGCTTGTTGTAATATCAGGAGTGAGTGTAACAGAAATGAACATAAGAGACCTAAACACACTCAACATGAACACGAAACACACGTGAGCTAAAGCCCAACATTACAGTGCTACAGTGTTCTGAGTGGTTGCTAGGGTGTTGCTAGAGTGTTCTGAGTGGTTGCTAGGGTGTTGCTAGAGTGTTCCGAGTGGTTGCTAGGGTGTTGCTAGAGTGTTCCGAGTGGTTGCCAGGGTGTTGCTAGAGTGTTCCGAGTGGTTGCTAGGGTGTTGCTACAGTGTTCTGAGTGGTTGCCAGGGTGTTGCTACAGTGTTCTGAGTGGTTGCTAGGGTGTTGCTACAGTGTTCTGAGTGGTTGCCAGGGTGTTGCTACAGTGTTCTGAGTGGTTGCTAGGGTGTTGCTACAGTGTTCTGAGTGGTTGCCAGGGTGCTGCTAGAGTGTTCTGAGTGGTTGCCAGGGTGTTGCTAGAGTGTTCTGAGTGATTGCCAGGGTGTTGTGTTGCTACAGTGTTCTGAGTGGTTGCCAGGGTGTTCCTAGAGTGTTCTGACTGGTTGCCAGGGTGTTGCTAGAGTGTTCTGAGTGGTTGCTAGGGTGTTGTTATGGTGTCTGTGTACCAAGGTATAGTATAATAGCATTTATAACACATGCAGCCTGAACATCAAGGTGATACAGTGCTGAAGAGTTGTGTTTGTAGGGCGTAACGCAGGCTGTGCTCATAGTTTGATGGGCATCTGTGTGTCATGTGTCACGGGACGGTTCTGTAGGGCGACATGATGAACCCACACAGATGTAGAGAGTGAATGAATGCTGACACGTAAAAGAGCTGGAATAAGAGAGATGGGGTGGAGGGACGAGGATGAATGACCACATACAGAGAAACACTGTGACCTTTCACCCCCGACTACACGCACACACACACACACACACACACACACACACTCACTCACTGTCTCTCACACACGCACACGCACACACACACGCACGCACACACACACGCACGCACACACACACGCACGCACACACACACGCACGCACACACACACGCACGCACACACACACGCACGCACACACACACGCACGCACACACACACGCACGCACACACACACGCACGCACACACACACGCACGCACACACACACGCACGCACACACACACGCACGCACACACACACGCACGCACACACACACGCACGCACACACACACGCACGCACACACACACGCACGCACACACACACGCACGCACACACACACGCACGCACACACACACGCACGCACACACACACGCACGCACACACACACGCACGCACACACACACGCACGCACACACACACGCACGCACACACACACGCACGCACACACACACGCACGCACACACACACGCACGCACACACACACGCACGCACACACACACGCACGCACACACACACGCACGCACACACACACGCACGCACACACACACGCACGCACACACACACGCACGCACACACACACGCACGCACACACACACGCACGCACACACACACGCACGCACACACACACGCACGCACACACACACGCACGCACACACACACGCACGCACACACACACGCACGCACACACACACGCACGCACACACACACGCACGCACACACACACGCACGCACACACACACGCACGCACACACACACGCACGCACACACACACGCACGCACACACACACGCACGCACACACACACGCACGCACACACACACGCACGCACACACACACGCACGCACACACACACGCACGCACACACACACGCACGCACACACACACGCACGCACACACACACGCACGCACACACACACGCACGCACACACACACGCACGCACACACACACGCACGCACACACACACGCACGCACACACACACGCACGCACACACACACGCACGCACACACACACGCACGCACACACACACGCACGCACACACACACGCACGCACACACACACGCACGCACACACACACGCACGCACACACACACGCACGCACACACACACGCACGCACACACACACGCACGCACACACACACGCACGCACACACACACGCACGCACACACACACGCACGCACACACACACGCACGCACACACACACGCACGCACACACACACGCACGCACACACACACGCACGCACACACACACGCACGCACACACACACGCACGCACACACACACGCACGCACACACACACGCACGCACACACACACGCACGCACACACACACGCACGCACACACACACGCACGCACACACACACGCACGCACACACACACGCACGCACACACACACGCACGCACACACACACGCACGCACACACACACGCACGCACACACACACGCACGCACACACACACGCACGCACACACACACGCACGCACACACACACGCACGCACACACACACGCACGCACACACACACGCACGCACACACACACGCACGCACACACACACGCACGCACACACACACGCACGCACACACACACGCACGCACACACACACGCACGCACACACACACGCACGCACACACACACGCACGCACACACACACGCACGCACACACACACGCACGCACACACACACGCACGCACACACACACGCACGCACACACACACGCACGCACACACACACGCACGCACACACACACGCACGCACACACACACGCACGCACACACACACGCACGCACACACACACGCACGCACACACACACGCACGCACACACACACGCACGCACACACACACGCACGCACACACACACGCACGCACACACACACGCACGCACACACACACGCACGCACACACACACGCACGCACACACACACGCACGCACACACACACGCACGCACACACACACGCACGCACACACACACGCACGCACACACACACGCACGCACACACACACGCACGCACACACACACGCACGCACACACACACGCACGCACACACACACGCACGCACACACACACGCACGCACACACACACGCACGCACACACACACGCACGCACACACACACGCACGCACACACACACGCACGCACACACACACGCACGCACACACACACGCACGCACACACACACGCACGCACACACACACGCACGCACACACACACGCACGCACACACACACGCACGCACACACACACGCACGCACACACACACGCACGCACACACACACGCACGCACACACACACGCACGCACACACACACGCACGCACACACACACGCACGCACACACACACGCACGCACACACACACGCACGCACACACACACGCACGCACACACACACGCACGCACACACACACGCACGCACACACACACGCACGCACACACACACGCACGCACACACACACGCACGCACACACACACGCACGCACACACACACGCACGCACACACACACGCACGCACACACACACGCACGCACACACACACGCACGCACACACACACGCACGCACACACACACGCACGCACACACACACGCACGCACACACACACGCACGCACACACACACGCACGCACACACACACGCACGCACACACACACGCACGCACACACACACGCACGCACACACACACGCACGCACACACACACGCACGCACACACACACGCACGCACACACACACGCACGCACACACACACGCACGCACACACACACGCACGCACACACACACGCACGCACACACACACGCACGCACACACACACGCACGCACACACACACGCACGCACACACACACGCACGCACACACACACGCACGCACACACACACGCACGCACACACACACGCACGCACACACACACGCACGCACACACACACGCACGCACACACACACGCACGCACACACACACGCACGCACACACACACGCACGCACACACACACGCACGCACACACACACGCACGCACACACACACGCACGCACACACACACGCACGCACACACACACGCACGCACACACACACGCACGCACACACACACGCACGCACACACACACGCACGCACACACACACGCACGCACACACACACGCACGCACACACACACGCACGCACACACACACGCACGCACACACACACGCACGCACACACACACGCACGCACACACACACGCACGCACACACACACGCACGCACACACACACGCACGCACACACACACGCACGCACACACACACGCACGCACACACACACGCACGCACACACACACGCACGCACACACACACGCACGCACACACACACGCACGCACACACACACGCACGCACACACACACGCACGCACACACACACGCACGCACACACACACGCACGCACACACACACGCACGCACACACACACGCACGCACACACACACGCACGCACACACACACGCACGCACACACACACGCACGCACACACACACGCACGCACACACACACGCACGCACACACACACGCACGCACACACACACGCACGCACACACACACGCACGCACACACACACGCACGCACACACACACGCACGCACACACACACGCACGCACACACACACGCACGCACACACACACGCACGCACACACACACGCACGCACACACACACGCACGCACACACACACGCACGCACACACACACGCACGCACACACACACGCACGCACACACACACGCACGCACACACACACGCACGCACACACACACGCACGCACACACACACGCACGCACACACACACGCACGCACACACACACGCACGCACACACACACGCACGCACACACACACGCACGCACACACACACGCACGCACACACACACGCACGCACACACACACGCACGCACACACACACGCACGCACACACACACGCACGCACACACACACGCACGCACACACACACGCACGCACACACACACGCACGCACACACACACGCACGCACACACACACGCACGCACACACACACGCACGCACACACACACGCACGCACACACACACGCACGCACACACACACGCACGCACACACACACGCACGCACACACACACGCACGCACACACACACGCACGCACACACACACGCACGCACACACACACGCACGCACACACACACGCACGCACACACACACGCACGCACACACACACGCACGCACACACACACGCACGCACACACACACGCACGCACACACACACGCACGCACACACACACGCACGCACACACACACGCACGCACACACACACGCACGCACACACACACGCACGCACACACACACGCACGCACACACACACGCACGCACACACACACGCACGCACACACACACGCACGCACACACACACGCACGCACACACACACGCACGCACACACACACGCACGCACACACACACGCACGCACACACACACGCACGCACACACACACGCACGCACACACACACGCACGCACACACACACGCACGCACACACACACGCACGCACACACACACGCACGCACACACACACGCACGCACACACACACGCACGCACACACACACGCACGCACACACACACGCACGCACACACACACGCACGCACACACACACGCACGCACACACACACGCACGCACACACACACGCACGCACACACACACGCACGCACACACACACGCACGCACACACACACGCACGCACACACACACGCACGCACACACACACGCACGCACACACACACGCACGCACACACACACGCACGCACACACACACACACACACACACACACACACACACACTCAAGACACACTCACACACTCAGACACACACACACACACCTCCTCAAGCGTAACTTTTATGTCAGGTGCAGCTCTGCACATCTCGTCTCTCTGAATAGCTCCTCGTCAATTTCAGGCTTAAAGTTTTATGGGAAGGATACTGTTTGATGCAGTTGACCAGCGGTCCATAACAGCAGTCATTTACTGTGCACTGAAAAGAGCGAAGAAATATTAGTCAGGAGGGGACGGGCCCTCAGCATCCATTACAAACACCCATCATGCACTGCAGCACGCCACACGTCACCTTATTAGCAGATTATTCAGACTAGTGATGGATTCACACGAGAACATCTCAGAAACTAACACAGACACTCCCAGTGTTTCACTGACCACTAACTAAAGAGTTTTAGTAGATTGCAGATACAATTAGTATAGACTACTAGAAGAACACCAAACAATGAAAATGAAAACAGAAAAAATAGAGCTATCACATGACTTCAGAACACTCAGAATATAGAGCATGATAGCGTTATGATTATAGTGTATAGAGTTTTACCGCCACTGATCAGTCTGCATACATTGTATAGTGTGAACATTCTGCTAAACATCTTAGATTGTATTCAATGGAAGAATGAGATGATGTCTGCTCAATGTTGGTACCTGCTCGACGTGCTTCGCTAACAGCAGGTCTGGAATTGAATACGGCTCGCGCAGCATGTTGTTGAGGACGTGTCTGGAAGCTGCTGATGGAGAGAGAAGAGTGAGGAGGAACACATGCATCAGATCAAAGTCCAGAGTTCAGCTGCAGCGGGCCTCGATGAACACACACCTGTAGTATTTCAGTGATGATACGAGCGTACAGAGGTTGGGTGTGAATGAGCTGCAATATTCTGCATGTCTCATTCCATTCATGCAGCACTAACATTATAAATCAGCCCACGAGCCCTTGGATTGATTCCCTATTACTCCAACACAAAATCCTTCATTTTCAAACATATTCAGATTCAATGGATTGAATCACTGTGGATTGAATCATTCTATATCCATATGAGAGTTACAGAGGCACTGTGCCACTGGCCAGTGCATGATGGGAAATATGAGGCCTTGTTCGGCTCAAACAGACAGTGATGAGAAATAAATGAGCATTTCATTTTATTCATGAAGTCAACTTACACTATGCCAATAATGCAAGTCAAAGTTTGAGTGCCATAAACAGCCATCATTTTTATTTACAAGACCATTTTTCTTTGAGCCTTGCATTGGTAGCTTTAAGACTTCTGTGTGTAAATGACACACTCCGTTATTACTGGCTAACCTCTACATCTCCAACCAGACACCAGACACAAAACCAGACCAAGACTAGACCCCTCAAGAACCACCATTTTGGATTCCTTTCAGCGAAGAGTTCTTAAAAGAACCATTGTTTTCTCTGTGAAGAACATTTTAATCGGCTAAAGCACCTTCTTCCTCTATAGAGAACCTTCTGTGGAATGGAAAGATTCCATGGATGTTAAATGTTCTCCATGGAACCACCAATGCTAATAAAGAATCTTTATTGTTGAGTGTTTAGAGCCATATTTAAAGCTGAGATGTGAAAGTTCTTTGCCATTAGCCTAACCGAACAAAACGGCAGAAGCACTCAATGTTTTCAAACAAAACCAGTTCCCCAAACACTTCAAGTCTTTTTTTGTTGCCTTTACTGGACACCTTTGTGTTCGAGTAGCTGTTTTCTCAGAGCATGATTGTTTCTCGAAGGCTCTTAAGTAGTAGTACAGACGTACAGTACTTGTTTGAGATTGAGACCACAAGATCAAGACTCCAACCCTTAGCTCTTTAGGCTCTCGTTACACACCCCCCTGTCATCAGGATCCAGCCGCACACAAACACACAATCCTCCTTCACTGGACTCTCTCTCTCGCCGTCGTAACATCAAATCCCTGCTGGAGAAGAACAAACGCTTGCTGTTATCTTTTTCATCCTCCTGCTGAAATAGGACGTGAGGAAGAAAGAACAAAGCCAAGTCAGCAGTCCTCTGCACCGGCGGCGCCTTGTTTTTCTGCTCATTTTTCTCCGAGATTGCTACCTTCACACGCAGATCCATACGCTGCTCTGGCGCTCCGCTCGGCAATGAAGAGAGCTATATTTCCCCTTGAGTTAGGACACCTCGTGACAAATGATAATGGATAATCAATAAAGCGGGAAATATGAGGCCGCAAACTTTATGAAGCCGGGAGACATATTACTCCCCAACAACACTGGTTTCCCTTAACAAAGTCACTACGCCGCTGCGCCTAATAATCTGAGGGAAAATCAAAGAAGCCGCAACCACATCAGCAATATTGGCAACTTATTCCACTTTAATGGCATTTTGATTGATTTTTCCCTCTTAATGGTACTTTTATAGATTTGATGCTGGTCCTGCAAAACAGCAGTGTGTAATAGAGCTCCCCGAAGGCAAGCAACAGCCATTAAAGGCCTTGTCTTACCAGGACTCGTAATTGGAGGTTGACCACCATCGCATTTCACACATCACACAACACCACCTGCTTCAAACGGCCAAACCAGGGCCTTTTCCTCTGAGCGATGGGGTTAAGAAGAGTCGTAAAAAGAGGGTGACCTTGCGGCTGACATTGTGGAGTTTCAGCCAAGCACTGACCTGATGAAAATGGAGGCCAGAGAGCTAATAAATCAGGCCGCTTTTAAAATGAGTTTACTCTAACGCTCATTCATCACGGCCCGTAATGCCATTTGCAGCGGCGGATCCGCAGCGAGCAAGCAGCACAGTAAATAACAACAGAGCCGAAGATGCGCACACGTCGTGCATTTATTAAAGATGCCTCCGCACGACACTGTAAACACACCACGAATTTAATGCAATTGTCCCGTGTCGACAAATTCCGACCGAGGCGTCCTTATCTGAAGGAGGGAAATATTAAAGAGGAAAGACGCCCTCCGCCGGGAGTTGTTCAGGAGCAGGGAAGCGCTGTTTACCAAAAACACAGCCCCCTTTAACAACCTCTGATGAAATGACGAATGGGGCGGCGGAAAGCGGCGCAACCTCGACTCGCTCTCCGGAAGGATAAGCAAGCCATTATCAGACTCCGAAGAAGCGGACAGAAGCTCATTAGAAGGCAGCGCTTGTGGAGGGTCGATCGTCGTAAAAAAATAACGGATGACAATCGTTATCGCCCCCGACACTGATGAGCTCCAAAGTTTGTTTATTAATTAAAAACCCTTTTCTTACGGTTATAATCTAGACGCCCCCTCCTCCTCGCGCGTCTCGTTTAGAAATGAATCTGTAGCCAAGTAAAGCAAACCAACGAACAGTGTTTGGCTGACGCGATCTGGAGCTCTTTGCTAATTTCCCCTGTGTTTACACCGGATGTGACTCTAGACGGCGGAACCCATTATAAATTCTGTCTACACTGCATACGGCACAGATTGACAACAAATCCCAGACAGTAAACGGATGTCCCGCTCTATTTCTGACACTGTTTCTGACCTGAAAGAGAAACGGATTCGCGACACGACGCAAGAGCGCTCGCGTCTGATCTAGATGTGTTAGGATCACAAGGAAGGCAATTCAGACAATTTTTCACTACACAGTGTCTAGTTAGTATTTACCTCTGCTTGTGGAAAAGCTACTTGTGATGAACTTTGATTCTTCACGTGTCTTTCTCTTTATCATCTGCATTTTTATTGTCAGTGTACGATAAAGTTACAAAACAGATTTTAGTACTTCGGTAGTTTGGCATATTCAAATTATATCAGTTTAAGACATATACTTTTTTTTTTACTGTAAATTTAAAATCTGTGAAACCTGAAATGCTGCTACCGTATATTTTACAGTAAAGATATGGCAACCACACTGCTGTTTTTATACACTCATATTATTTTTTACAGTGTATCTTGAGGTCTGATTGGTAAGCGTTAAGACAGGCCATCCAGACCAGAGAACTAAAGTGAAACTATGGCTTTGAAAGCATGCACTGATGCCTGGAATCACTCTGGTGATGAAAATACAGTGTGCAAGATGTGCGATGCCAATCCGTGTGGCTGTAAGCTGTAATATTACATTGATGTTGTATACTGTATGCCTGATTATTCTCAAATGGGATGTGTTTGGGTAACCGACCTGCTACCAAAGCGTTTAAATTATCAGTGTTTATTCACTGTTCACTTTCAGCTCATGCATCTCAAACAGCAATTACTGACTGTGACCGGGACTGTAATATACACAATAAAATAATGAGTACACTATTGTTACAGACTGTTGTAAGTCTTTGACTAACAAGGTAAAGTTCACTTGTGCAATCTCATACTTTTTGTGCAGATGTAAGTTGTATTATTATCTGATTGATCTCATTTAAGATTTGTTTTGTTGACGCAGCTCAACATTACTGAATATGATTGGGTTATTTAAAATAATCATATTCCTGTTTTTTTATGCATTATTTATAATAACTAGCAGTGTTATTTTTCTCATATCATTAAGTATGATTTAATTATGTGCATGTGAAGTCCAAAAATGGGCAGGTCAATGGTCAACTCATCAAACTGGTGCCCATCAAATATCACACGAAGTGGAAGAGAAATGGAAAAACAATCTGACTTTAAAAAGGTGCAGTTAAAACGAGCTTATGTCACGCATTCACAGCCGCGCTCAACCTCAACGCCATCAGCGCAGGAACGAGCGGGAAGCATTATTCACTGGATATTCAGGCACAAGTGCCTTTAAAGAAATGAAAAGGTAACGTGAATGGAGCCAGAACGTAGCATTCATCTCATTTAAGCATGATAACTGAGGCGTCCAGCCCAGAGCCACAAACACCAAAGAGACTGGAGCAAAAAGCCCAGCAGTGCGTTCAGAAGATCCCCTCCCAGCCGTCTGCAGGAGAGGAAGGATTATAGATGTTGATATCATATTAGATATGTGCTGAAAATGCCCTGAACGTATTGATTTATTTACATGCGCATCCATCTGGCCCGGTCTGGGGAAAACACGGACACAACACTCACCCGAGAAAAGACTTCAGAAACAATCTCAAACTCTCTATTGATCCCGCTGAAGTGAGTGGATATATATTCAGCCGTCCCAAAGGCACAATTCCTGCGTCTCTTAAATGCAAACAGGGAAGAAAGGAATGAAAGAAAATAAAAGATGGTGGTGTGCGAGGGCCGTGGCTGGCGTATATGAAGCTATTGATCCGCGCGCTGGCTGGAAACACTGAGCGAGCCGGGAATGATGGATGTGCCTGCCGACAGCGCCGGACAAACCTGTTAGCTAATTGCCAGCAAAGACAATTATCCAGGCATTGTTTGATGAAAGCAACACATTACAAAAGTCTAATATTCACACAGGGAGATTCAGTAGTTGAAGCGTGGAGCCCCTGTGCGCAGGAGTTCACTGCCGCGGGACTGGCGGGTCAAAATACACGTCACTCTCATCTGAATCTGAGCTGGGCTAGTGCGGACGGCTGGCGCGGTCACGTGACGCTAACACTACAGAGAATGGAAAGGCTTGAGCTTCTGTATCTCCTCCTAGACTTTTAAAGCTACAACCACCAAACTCGGATCAGACCTTCAGACTGGTCTGACTCGGTGTGCTATATCTTTTCTAACTGATCCGGCTTACGGTTTTCATAAGCCAGACTATCAAAACCACCTAAAATCCCATAGACCAGGTGTAGGCAAGTTCGGTCCTAGAGAACCGCAGTCCTGCAGAGTTCAGCTCCAACCCTGAAAACAAAACTCACCTGCCTATAGCCTTAGTAATCCTGAAGACATTGATTAGCTTGTTCAGGTGTGTTTGATTAGGGTTGGAGCTGAACTCTGCAGGACTTTTTTTTTTTTCTCATCACTGTTGTTGTAATGTATTGGGAAGCCAGAATGCGCATCCATCAACAGAAACATATATTAGCCGAACCCTGTTTGTTTTACGTCAGATTTAAGTTGAACAGCGGCCCTAGCGCGTGCCGAACCGTGTGTGGAGAACCGTACGGTTTGATTTTTTTCCGCGAACCGTTCCACCCCTAATGTTAACAACATCCTAGTAACTTGCTAATCATGCTAGAAACATGCTAGCATCATGCTAGTAACTTGCTAATCATGCTAGAAACATGCTAGCATCATGCTAGTAACATGCTAATCATGCTAGAAACATGCTAGCAGCTTGATA